AGTCTGTCACTTTGTCAAAATGTATAAAGTATTGGCCAAAAGCACAACACTGCTTTTATAGACCGAAATGGGTAAATAGAAACTCTAAATGTAAATGGTGAGTATTCCAACATGAAAGTCAACGATTTACATAAACAAATTAGCATTTAACAGCCCTTATCATAAGAACCTCCTTCTGAAATGAGACACAGTTGATTACTTTTAAAGACTTGGAGGTCAACGTTAAGTTGGTTGTCGCCTATTTTATGGTAGGAGGCTGGCAAGGCAGCAAACTGGAGGGTACCTAATGAATTGGCCGCTCGTGCCTCATGTATCACCCCCCCCCTTCTTTTTCCAAGAAGGAAGGTAAAGACATTATTTCATTGCTGGGAGATAACAAAACTTCGGCATTTATAGTACTCTGTTGATTGAGAGATCTAGAACCTCATATAATAGGAATCCCTCTCACAAAGAGAAGGGCATTTTCTGTAAGTACGAAACTTTGTCTCATGGAGAGGACAACAGTTCGATATATATATATATATATATGTTATTCTCATTTTTTTTGTCTAATTCCATTGTTTCCTCCTTGCCTCTAATTTCCATATTTCAAAATTTGCTTTTACTTTAATTATTTCCATCCATTATTTAATTTCCTAAAAATAAGTATTATAGCATACTTACCGGTAATACGTGGTATTAATATCTCGATAGGGGATATCAACAATGACTTATAAAAGGAATCCCTCTCACACGGAGACGGCCATTCTTTAAAAATGTGAAATTTGACTCACTGGTAGATACAACACTTCGGTATTTATAATAATTCTCTTGATAGAGAGATTTAGAACCTCATACAATAGGAATCCCTCTCACGAGGAGAAGGGCATTCTTTATAATTAGGAAACTTTGTCTCACTGAGAGAACAACACTTCGATATTTATAATATTATTTTGATAGCCAGATTTCTAACCTCATATAATAGGAGAATCCCTCTCACGAGGAGAAGGGCATTCTCTAAATAGGAAACTTTGTCTCACTGCGAGCAGCTATTGCTTTATCCCTTTGTCTACTTCCATTGTCTCCTTGCCTCTAATTTCCACATTTAGAGATTTGCTTCCACTTCAATTACTTCCCTCCATTATTTAATTACCTGAAAATAAATATTATAAGATACTTACCTGTGATACCTGTAATTTATCTCTCGATAGAGGGATATCAATATTGACTTATAAAAGGAATCTCTCTCATATGGGTATCCTCTAAAAGTACGAAATTTGACTCACTCGGAGATACAACACTTTGGCATTTATAAAATTCTCTTGACTGCGAGATATAGAACCTTATATAATAGAAGAATCCCTATATAATATAATAGAATCCCTCTCACAATGAGAAGGGCATTCCTTATACGTATGAACTTTGTCCCACTGAGAGTACAGTCCGATATATATGATATTGTTTTCTTCTTTTATCTAATTCCAATATTCCGTTATTTACGTCTACTTCGTTTTTCTCTAAAAATAAATATTATACAATACTTACATATTGTTCCTTGTGTTCTACCTAGCTGTAGAACACCGTATATTACAAAGTAATATTCAAAATAAGTAGAGAATAAACAAAATGGCTTCATTGATATAACGACGAAGAAATCAGAGAACTGCGATCCACACTGCACCGTGCACGAAAGACGAATGAATACCGACCGCCGCGCCAGGGCCGGCGCCGCCACCTAGACTAGCGACGGGAGGGGATTTAGCTTATAGCTTTAAAATTGTGCACGCAGGGACGTTAATACGTATATGAAAAATCAAGATAATACATTCGGACTGGACGCGAATATAATTCCGACGTGTCGGAAAGTGTCGCGTCGGTTAGATATTAAGTCCCGAACGGAATGTGGTTGTCATTTTGTGGATCTGCCTAAGCTCACCTGATGATGGAGTAGGGCTTCGAAACCGGTAGTAATCCGCATTATGACAAACACAGCGTAGAATTAAATTTCTATATCAGCAGTTAAGTGGCAAGAATCCTTATATAAGTAAATATATTTTGAGAATTTATTTATTTTAGCTTTTAAGTTATTTGGTAATGGTTTCATTATTTATTTTTACTGAATAAACATTTTAAATTACAATGAATGCACAGCATAACTTGTATTCTAGCTGCTTCTTTACCGGTGATGAGCAGTGAAGTATTTAGTATAACGGGGGCCACGGGCCTGAGTGGTATTATAGGAGTTGTTGGCCTGAGACGGCGAAGTGGCCCTTCGGATCTTGGAGGACTTAACAAAAACGCAATATTTTGTCGCGGGATTTCCCTGGAACGGTAGCGAAAGTAACGCGGCTCATATGTGGAACCGGTATTTTCATCACTTTGTCATCATAAGTTGCCATTAAATACATGCAAACATTCGCTCGGGGATTTCCCGATCTACTACTGCATGACCCGTGAATGGTAGTATATGGCTCGTTAGCAAAATTATGTTCAATAATTTAATACCTCTAATTTATTACAGTTGGGATTGGAACCTTTAGTGTGACAACAGCAAAATATAACACTAATTCACCAGAATACACCAAAACACTTTACTTTTGCACTTAAAAGGGAAATTAAAACAACTTTCGTTGCACGTCATCAATGACACCATGCCTAATCTTATGGAGTTTGCTGGTGGTAGTATTATGATATGCAACCAAAGTTATTCTAATTTCCCCATACTTGTTTTATTACCTCAAATTGCATGCGTTTTTCGATTTAAAAATATTATTGTAAGCTTTAAAAAAATTATGTTATCGTTTTTCTGCAGCCTTTTTAGAGCTGGGGCCCTTAATACTCCTGGAGCCAGGGCCTATCAGGCACTGCTGATGAGTACAATAAAGACGGCACTGCTGATGAGTAACATATTTATATCTATATCGATTTTTATTATAATTATTACAGTATACGGTGTCCCAGGCTGAGCGTGCATTAGAAGTTTTTAGAGAACCACAATATCTAGATCGAAGGTTTTTTGCACATTATTGTTTTACAAGATCTATCTTTAAAAATATTTTCAACATGGCGGCACTTCCCGAAATACCGGAATTTGACAGCAACTTTCTTATTTTAAATGGGTGCCTCCTATTTTTTATTACATACTTAAGTTCTCTGTAAAATTCTATGAATATTGATGTTAAACACTATATCTAACATCAACCATTTTTTTTGGACGAAAAAAACTACCTGTCAAAAAAATGTGTACAGCCTAAAAGTCAAATTTAGTGATTATCACAGCCACTGTGACATAAAGAAAATACTTGTGGCTATCTATTTCAAAAATTAAATTTTTCAAATGTCATATAATAATGGCGGTAGCTGTCATGGAATTGAGCGATTAAAAAATTATCATAAATAATTTTTTTCAAATGGAAACCCACTTTTTTTTATTTCACTAGTGAAAAGGTTTTTCAATTCATTACGTTTTAACTAGCATATTCCTATACCTAAAATAAATCGTTTTTAAGTTATTTAAGATTTAGTTTGAAAACGTATATTTTTCTTGATTTTATCTAGCTTCCTTTGACATTAAGTGTCAAACAGTCAGACAATTGAGGAGTTTCTGGCAAAAACCCCATTAGTCAGATATTTCGAAATTTGGAAAAACTAAAAAAAACGTATATCTTGCTCCCATTTAAATTTAAATTTTCGTTTTTTTTGTGTGAGCTCTGGTTATAATCTGAAATTACAGAAAACTAGTTTTCTTAATTTTTTCTTATTTTTAAGTTAGGAAGGGCGTGAATTTGTTTGACTTGTGGGGTTTTCGCTGGAATTTTGGCAAAAACCGTGGAAACAACCAAGTCCTCTTAGCAACTATTCGAACGATTACGAACGACAAACAACCAAACCACAACAAGTAGCGGACTAGTGGAGTTTTTGCCGTTAAGACTTGTGCCTTTTGCGGTTCTTGCGGAATTACGGTATTTTTGATCGTATGCCACGGGCTGACTTATAGCACTTTTCCCGAATTCGTTTGGTAGGAACGTTATGACTAACAAACTACTGTCGGATAGCGCCATTAACTCATCTTACCCATTTTTTGACTAATGGGTTTTTTGGCAGAAACCCCCCAATTTACTTCCATATCTATCAGAAAATGAATTATTTGAATTTCCTATATTATAAATACTGCTGCCTTAAAAGTTTAAAAAGTGTATTTATATAAATATATCTCGTATTTTCGTTCTTTAGTGATATCTAATAGTTGATATTTTAATAATATACCGTACGATCGAAAAATACGTCATAGGCTACTGGTTGAAATCAAAAAAAATATAGGTTTAAAAGCAAAATCTTTTTGAAAAAAAAAATATAATTATTTTTTAATTGCTCAATTTTTGACAGGCAGTTTTTTTTCTCCAAAAATTATAAATATTTTTTTTTCTCAAAAACGGTTAACATTAGGTAGAGTGTTTAATATCAAAATTCATAAAATTTTACAGAGAATTTAAGTATGTATTAAAAAATGGGGTCACCCATTTAAAATAAGAAAGTTGCTGTCAACTTCCGGTATTTCCGAAAGTGCCGCCATATTGAAAACATTTTTAATCGATAGATCTCGTTGTGAAACAATCATATGCATAAAATCTCATGTCTAGATATTGTAGTTCTCTAGAAACTTCTAATGCAGGCTCAGCCTGGGTCACCCTGTATAAATACTTGAATTTTGTCAACCATACATACGTCATTCAATTTTTACAAAATGTGCATTAGAAGTATATCATTATCTCAACAGACCGGGGGCCACATTTAGCTTCGCCGCCCCGGGCCCCCGACAGGCTTCATCCGCCACTGATTGAACAGCGACTCTATACGATTAAACACACTAAAAATGACAAAATTGAAAATTTTAAAAATGAGCAGGACTAATTTCCCCATTTAACTTGATCGTCTCTAGTTGTCTTTGGCATTAATTTCTGAAATGCAGCCGGCCTCCATTAGTTGGCCATCCAGTACATTAAAATTCTTATATGTTTCAGATTATATGAAAAAGTTCCAGAAGTTTACATTCCAGTTTTATGGTTCGAACAAGTCATCACCTTACCAGATAATTTCATATTTTCCATTAAGGCATTTTTAAGTTTAGATATACTTTTTCTGATCATCGGAGCAGTTTCAATTCTTGTCGGTATTGCATTACAATTGTATGGATGTTACAAACTATGGAAAAGAAAACTTTTTAAAATAGAATCTATTATTACACGAGAAGAAGTGCCTTTAACCTTAAAGAAAATTTGAAAAGTGGACGAGCATTGCCAAAAAAAACAATACTATTTTATCGAAAATCTAATTATATAGGTACAATGTTTTTTTGATTAATTACAATATTTGTGATTTATAATTTATTTATTTTTAAATTTTGTCAATTGTTTTTTAAAGTTTAAATGGTTATAAGAGAGCAATAAAGCAATAAAATATTTGATAGTGTCTATTGATATTTCATTTTTATACCTTAGATTAGATTACCTACTAGAGGTGGCTATCGGCCTGATCCACTGCGACCTTCTCAGATCACGAATTACTCTCAAATGGACAGCTACCTATTGTGGTCCTCTTCTGATCTTTAAGTTCCATTCTCCAATCTTATCATTTTTACAAAGTCTAGCAACTTGAAGACTGAACCCTCTATGATGTAGCTCCCTGGCAATGGTCTATCATTGCCTTTTACCGAGAATCAGCTTACAATGCAACCCACTACAGCTGTGACTCTAATCGGTAGACCTGATAGCTTAGCAGTGAATTTTGGCGAATGTTCTACTATGAACTGTTTCGCCTGTCTCTGCCCTCGTGAGTTGGCCACCCATCGTTCCGTGACCATTCTCGTGACTGCTTTTACAACGCCGAAGAAGGGTTGTTTAAAAAATATATTTAGGTCCCCTATAGCTAACTATTTATTTAGTGGCCTATATACCGTGCTTTTATTTTAACTGTGAACATAGGGCTGAACACAGTGCAATGCTATTTTGCTATATATACTCATTTTTAAAGCGGAACAGTCAATGCATTGGACTTGAGCGAATAGTATGCAACCAATAGTCATATAATAAATAATATTTTTTGTTTTAAAATACTTTTTTTGTTTAGTTAAAAATAATTCTAGCTGAAAAAATTACCAAAAATTATAAATTTCGATGATTAAAAAATATTTTGAATTTTATTTCATATCTATTAATTTTTCGGCGAAAAACTGTATTGCCTGTCGGTATTTCATCAATGGATGATAAAATATTGGTTATAAACTGACAACAGGGAAGCGATTTACAAATTACAATGATTGACTGCCTATGTTCATAGTTAAAATAAAAGGACTGTATAAGAGTATTTGCTTTTCGTTAAGCTTGAAACGATGTGTTCTTTGCTGCCTTATTATTTTTTCTACACAAAAGTGGATTGCCGTTATTTCTGCCTGGAAAATTGTAACATCTTCAGATAGGCTTACGCGGAAATATCTTCCTTGTTTCGGTTCTACTATTCCAGTTCTTAAGCATGCCGACGTTCTTGAGCGGCCTGTATACCAGATTGCCTCAGCTTGAATGGGTACACCCTCTCACTAGTCTTCCCTTCCTATGTATGTTTATATTTACCGGTATGGCTATATTAAATTTGTTGTTAAAACTATACCTTGTAGCTGTTGCATACCCAATACCTTGTCTGCTTTTAGCTCCTGGATTGGCTTCTGGTTTTCAGCACTATGCGTCTGGTTAATGAGCTGCTGGCCGTGAATTACCTTGTGCGTAATAGATCGGGCTTCGTCTTGTATGAATATATCGTCCCATTGCTGCCAAAAGTCACTAACTTACTTTTTATTACTTCCGAGAAAAATGCCTCTAAAGATGAATTGCACTGCATAAAGATGTTATAGATAGTAACTATTCGGTATTAAAATAAAACATAAATAGCCAGAAA